AAACAAACAAACTTCTGTGTAGGGAGGGAAGTCCCTTCACTTGGTTTTCAGAGTTACCAAACATTTCCTGTTTTGTCTTTTCTCTATCCTAGTTGGTTGACCTTCATAAATGACAGTCATTTATTTTCATCAAGATTATTTTGTGCAGAGGTTTTAGTAAAATAAATTGAAAATTAGAGACAGGTGTTGAGAGAGAGATGTGGATTACTGGTTTGGGGGATTTTTTTTTTTGAGGCAGGGTCTTGCCTTGTTGCCCATTTGGCCTCAGGCCATCTTCCTGCCTCAGCCTCCCAACCCACGAGACCACAGATTCTGTGCCTGGTGCTGTCTGGCTTTTGCAAAGGTCTAGAGACAGTAAATAGAGTCCATCCTGTACTTAGAGTCTGGATTCCCCGTGAGCTCACCACGCCCCTGCTGACCTGGTCTCTGTCTTTCTGTGCCTGCGGGCAGCCATGCAGAGTGTGCCGCGGGGGGAAGTGGCCCTGCGCAGCAGTGAGTGAGCTGGGCCAGGAGGGCGTCCGGGACGCGGACTTCATCCTTTACGTTGGTGCTTTGGCCACGGAGAGATGCAGCCAGGAAAACATCATCTCTTACGCAGCCTACTGTCAGCAGGAAGCGGAGATGGACAGGTAACTCCCTCTGGAGGCTGACTCAGACTCCCGGCGGCCCTCCCGTGTGGCCGCTGCCGGGAGGCTGGCATCCCTATCGCCCAGAGTGACAGAGGGCTCGCTGCCTGCGGGGTGCATGGGAACAGCCTCAGGGTTGTTGTTTGTGTGTAATGGGAGTTCGTGGGCAGGATGAGAGAAAAGGCTGGCTTTGCATTCCAGGCGATTCTCCTGCCTCAGCCTCCTGAGTGCTGGGATTACAGATGCGCTCCAGTGCGCCTGGCTCTTTCCTATCCTTTTTGCCAATAAATTCCAAAGAAAAAGGCTTCTTGTCAAGAAAACTTCCTTCCAGCACTTGGGAGGATCACCACACATTTGAGGCTGTTGTGAATCAGGGTAAGATCCTGTCTCAAAAAAACCAAAAAAAGGAAAATATTCTTTCAAGGTGAAAACCTCTCTTAAGAAATAATTTGAATTCTCAGTTTAACACTTCCTTGCTAAAATTTCATTTTTTATATTTTTGGTAGTGGGAATTGAACTTAGGACCTTGCTCTTGCCAGGCAGGTGCTTGTACCACTGAGCTATCTCCCCGGGCCCCATGCTAATATTTTAAACATAAATTCAGTTGTCATTTGTTATATGTGCTTCATTTAGCTAAATTATCACTTCAAAATGCAGTTTTCAGCCGGGCATGGTGGCGCATGCCTGTAATCCCAGCATTTGGGAGGCTGAGGCAGGGGGATCATTGTGAGTTCGAGACCAGCTGGGGCTACAAAGTGCGCTCAAGGCCGGCCTGAACTGCATAGCGAGACCCTGTCTCAGAAAGACAAAAAAAAACCCAAAAGAACAAAATGCAGTTTTCATTATTTCCCGGAGATTTCCAAAAAAGTTTTGCCAGTGAAGCAGCCCAGCCTTAGAATGAAAAGTGATAATCCATCCACACAGGCAGACGTGCTGGAGGTGGTAGAAATCGCGCACATCTGAGAAAGTTCACACAGAGGAGGGGCATGTGACCAGCTGAAGTGCGCATAGACCACTGCTGGCGTGCCGAGCAGCTGCCGACCTGTGAGAGGACTTGCTGACCACCCTTTTTAGTCTTTTGAGACAAGGTCTTGCTGTTTGGTTCAGGTTGGCCTTGAACTCAGTGTCACCCAAGCTGGCCTTAAACTTGCAGCAATCCTCCTGCCTCAGCCTTCTGAGTGCTGAGGTTACATGGGTGTGCCATCATGCCCGGCCCCTGCTAACTCAAAGAGCCCTTTCCCTTCTGTTGATGTATAGCTTATGTGAGGGAAAAATTGAAACTCCTAGTTGAACTTAGTAGACTATAGAAAGGAAACACTGGCCTGTCCAGAACTGTGCCGTCCTCAGTCCTAAAGGGCTCGGAGGGGCCGGATGGCCAGCGTGGACGAGGAAGAGCAGCCTGTTCCTGTGCAAACGGAGAAGTGTTGATTGGTGAGACGGGCTCAGAAGTCTGTGGGCTGAACGCTGAGCGAGCTGAGCGCCAGCCGTCAGGCGTGTGGGTGCAGAGGAAGCAGTGGGGGTTTTTGTAGCCGTGTGCGTGCTGATGCTCCTTTTTCCTGGAGGAGCTGCCTTGAAGTTTATGTCTTTAGTGAATGGTGTCTTGGTGTCGGGGGACTTCGATATTTGAAGCGCTGAATGAACGGCAAATTAAGCTACTTGATAAACTAAGAAACATTCTTAAAGTAGATGTCTGAGAAATTTCCTGTTTCCACAGTAGTGCTGCGGAAATCACGGCTGTCTTAACGGGAACTAAGTCATGTGGATTACACACACACTTAGCACGCTATGAAGTGTCAGAAGAACTTTAGAGCACTCTATTCTATTTCTGTACTTTTACTTGCATTTATTTTTATGCTGAGTTTTCCCCTGGACCCTCGGTGTTCGTCTCTCCGGCTTCCTCCGGGCTCTGTCCTGTGCGCAGCCCGCCGCCGGGGCGTAGGGCCGTCGGTCCCTTTCCAGGGCACTGGGCGGGAGCCCTGTGAGCACAGGTACAATGCAGGGCGGCGGGTGCTGCCGGGAGACCCGGGCCGCCATGTGGAGACCCAGCGCTCCCTTGTTCGCAGTGTTTGTAAGTCTCTGTGGCAAAACTCAGCACTCTTCTTGGGCCACCAACGCTGTGTCTGGCCCTGCGGTCTGGCGGGGCCACACCGACCAGCTCCAGCATGGTCGCTGCTTCTTTGGAGTGACATCCTTCCAGTACTTGGTGGCCTTTTAGATACGCATACCTCGGTGGCCTGGGCGTTTCACCTGTGCTCTAGAGTGAGCGTGAAGATTTGAACCTTTGATTTGTAGGGTTTTCTGGTCAAGAGAGTGGTGAAGCATTTACACAGGGCACCCCGGCCGCCCACGGGAGGTGGAGCTGTCAGAGCGCTCTGGGCTCGGGTCCCACTGACAGGAAGGAGTCGCCGGGACGAACGTCCTGTGTGCCGCGAGCGTGAGGCGGAGCTACGCGGGCATAGCGCTGGCCCCTGCACGGCTTTGGGCAGGAGGAGCTGCGCCTTTTGAAGGAATGTGCAACCTGTGTACGACGGAATTTGTTCCTGACGCCAAGTATTTGTGCACAGCCTAGAACAAAGTAATCGCTGTGTCCGCCTTGTGGAGCTGACGGACCGCAGAGGGCCACAGGCACTGGTTAAAAGCACTTGCAGGTAGATGTGCGACTTTAAAATGCAGTAAGCATTTTGTAGAAAAATACTTTCTGTGGGATGCCACGACGTAAAAGAGGGCAAAGGGGGAAATACCATCTCAGTCAGAGAAGGCCTCTTGTGAGAGAGGGACTCAGCTATGCCCTGAAACGCTGGTGAGGCCGGGAGTGAGCTTGTGTCAGGCGAGATCGTGTGACCTGCTGCTGTCGCAGCCACTTCTGCGGCCACGGCGCAGCGGGACGAGGGCGGGGGAGGGCTCGCCCACTCGGAGTCCTGCAGGACATCCCAGGGAGGAGGGCCCGGCAGGAACGACAGATTTGGAAGTCCCCGTGAGTGTGTTCGATAAGTCACTTCCACGCATACTTTCTCTAAGTATGGGTTTTAGTACTTGGAAATATAAAGAAGTGCAGTGTGTTTTTCGCTGCTGCGAAGTGTAGATGGGCTCTTGTCATGCGGTGGAGAGGCAGGCCGTTGCGGTGGGGCCGGAAGAACGCGCCCTGCGGTTCTCCGGCTTTGTCGCTTGGCTGCGGCTCTGAGGCCAGGCTGGCCTGTCGGGCCCGACGCAGGCAGGGACGTGAGGTTCTGTAGACTCTGGAGCTTGAGAGAGAGGGTGGGAGGTGCCCAGACTGGGGGCAGGAGAACAGGGAAGGTGGGGAAGGCGGGCCGGGAGGGCTGTAGTTTCAGACACCTGAGCAGCTTGCTCAGGGTCTGGTTTGTGTGTCCAGTTTTCCCTCACTACCTGTTTGTCTCTGCACCTGAAAATACGGTGAATCTGAAACCACATTTGGATTTTCTAAGTAAAATAGCGTGGGAATCTGCGTTCTCCACTTCATTCCTTTCTTGGTATTATGTTGGCATCTGTTCATTTACATAACTGTACCTGGAGTGTTTGCTTTGGTGCTGATTTGCCAGGCTTAGGAGAGCAGAAGGTGTGCGTCCTCACAACAGAAGGTGCTGAAAGTCAGCCGGGCCTGGCAAATGCCTAAAGTCCCAGCACTCAGGAAGCTGAGGTGAGAGGTTGAGGCAGGAGGATTCCAGATGTTCCCGGCCATCTTGGGCTATGTATCAAGACTTTGTCTAAAAAAAAAACAAGATAGCGAAAGTTAACTACAAAATTACATTTGAGCCGGGTGTGGTGGCACGCCTGTAACCCAGCACTTGGGCGGGATTACAGGAAGCAGGAGGATCATTGCTAGTTCAAGGCCAGCCTGGGCTGCAAAGTGAGCTTAAGGCTGGCCTGAACTGCATGCATAGTGAGACCCTGTATCAAAAGGCTGTAAAAAAAAAGAAAAAAAAAAAAGTCAAGATTTTTCTGTCTTTGAGCAGTTTTTGATAGAGAAGTATACGTTAGTAAATATCTTAATAAATACTGTTCTGGAATATAATAAAAAATTCAATGTCTGTTTTAACAGGCCAATAGCAGGATATGCTAACCTGTGTCCAAATATGATCTCTACCCAGCCTCAGGAGTTCATCGGGATGCTGTCCACAGTGAAACATGAGATTATCCACGCCCTGGTAAATGTGCCCTCTACTTCCTTTCTTTTGTGCCTTGGTTTTCTGCTTAGTCTGCTCTCTCTGATGTCTATTTTAAATTTTGAGGTCAATGAATTTTTAGCTTCATGCTAAGGAAAATCTGATTAAATAGGTTACTGTTGATAAAGAATTTTTTGATAATTAAGAGAGTAGATAGGAGGAAGGCATGGTGGTACACAGTATAATCCCAGCACTCTTGGAGGCTGAGGCCGGCGGTTCACAAGTTTGAGACCAGCCTGGTCAATTTAGAGACTTAGTAAGATCCTGCCTCAAAATAAAACATAAAGAGGACTTGGGATATAGCTCAGTTGAAGGCTCTGGGTTCAATCCTTGGAACTAAAAAAAAAAAAAAAGAAAAAGAAAAAGCATAATGCGTAAGTTGCAATTTGCTATTTAATATAGTTACACAAATCTACTGGGTAAATAAAGAATTTAAAGGAGTTGCGTAAGACCTTAGGCAGTGGTCACCTGATGCTTTGCAGTAGGGGTAGTAAAGCACACTGGTGAAGAAAGAACAGACCGCACAAGCCTTCGTATGAATTTTCTTAGTTGGATCACCCGAAATCTTTGTGGCCTTGGGCAAGGTAGGCCGCTTTGGAAGCCTCGAATTCGTCTGTGATACGAGGGCAACAGCAATACGTGCTCCAGTGGAGCATAAGTAAGACAGTACGTAGGAACTGGGTACACCATCCACCCTGTTGGTACGAAGCTATAATTCACTTGGTGGCTGTTATTGGTGTTACTTGGTGAGCTATCACGTATGGCCTTGAAGTCTAGGCTTTAGCCTTTCAGTTACCCAACACACTGAATAACAAAGGTGCAGCGCTAACAGAGAATACTTACCAATTTCTTACGTAAGGAGATTCTAAAATGAAATACCTTGTTTTTCCCTTTATTAAAAAAAGCAAGTTGAAGGTCAGTGGCAGAGCTCTTTCTCAGAAGGCTCAGGCTCTGGGTTTGGTCCCCAGCACTGCTAAAAAAAGAAGCGGAGGGAAAGTGAGTCCCACCTCCCAAGAGCTGCTCATTCTAATGCAAGACAAGCATCACTGTGAGCAGGATTTTAAGCTACAAGAACTATACACACTTACTATTGAGGGAGAAGAGGGTACCACCTAAAGAGTGAAACTAAGTAACGAAGCGTAGTCTGTTGCCTTCTCAAGGGAATCGCAAGTTTGAGCCCAGCCTGGGCAAGTCAGTGAGATCTTGTCTCAAAAAATTTAAAAAGAGCTGAAGGTATAGCTCCATGCAGAGGCCCTGGGTTCCATCCCCAGCACAAATAAATCAATCTGATTATACACATACAAATTCATCTTTTTTTTTTTTTTTTTTAATGTCTTTTTGAGACAGGGTCTCGCTATGCAGTTCGGGCTCGCCTTGAGCTCACTTAGTAGCTCAGGCTGCTCTCTAACTCATGACGATACTCCTTTCATCTTCTAAGAAACTGGCATAGGTGATTTCATGGACGTTATCACCAGAAAAAAACGTAGCATGTCAACATGTGCATTTTCAGAATTTTTGTTACATGTGCACATACACATCTGTTGTCTTCGCGTGCACGTGTGTCCCTCATGTGGGGTCTTGTGTGGGATGTGCACTTCGAGGTCCAACTCCGGGTTGCTGTGAGCGTTCCTGGCATCTCCTTGCACCTGTGGTGCGTGGTCTGTGCTGCTGCCGGGGCGCTCACTCTGGCTCCGGAGGCTTCCGCACTTCTCCTGCAGCGGTTTTCCTGTCTTAAAAAAGGATGCTGAAAGGGTTGTGAGGTACATACTCAGCTGTGGCAGAGCTCTAGTGGATGCTGCTTCTGATAACCATGGAAACCCTTGTAGGAAGGAGGTGGCAATGACCGCTGCCTTCTTGCAGTTACAGGAAAGGAAGTTGTTAGCTAGATGCTTTCATCCTCTACTTAATCATGTAGATATATACGTATTCTTGATAATCCTCTTAAAAATTCTTTGGTATTTTGAGACAGGGTCTGGGCCAGCCTTGCACTGCAGTAATCCTCCTGCCTCGGCCTCCCCAGTGCTGGGATTATAGGCGTGCGCCACCGCGCCTAGCCCGTTCTGGGTACTTTTAATCAAAGTTGTTGATTTTCTATTGGCCAAGTGTCTGGCATGGCCACATAGCGTGTGTCCTGCTTCTGTCAGTTTAGCCCCTGCCCGTGTCCAGAGCTGATATCTAATAGGGTCTCAAACAAGGAAGGCCGAGATGACTTGAAAAAGCAGAAAGGAGTTAAAAACATCACAGTTGTTTTCCTTAGTGTTCATACCGAAAATAACTGTAAAGTGTACGTTTTGTAAGAACTTCGATGAAAATTGTTTAAGTCAAGTAGTTAGAATCTTTTTTTTTTTGGTGCCAGGAATCGAAATCAGGACCTTGCACTTGCCAGGCAGGCGCTTATGCCACTGAGCTATACCCCAGGCCCTAGAATCCTTAACATGGCATGCTTGGAGGATACAAGAAGTTCCCAGGCAGCCCGGCTTGGCTCGGTGCTTTTACGGAGGGGAACCAGTGTGTCCCCTCCCCGAGCAGATTCTTGACGCTATCTGGAATCAGAGTCCGTCTTTGCACTTTTAAGACATCGGAACTTTTTCTCACAGGGCTTCTCGGCTGGGCTCTTTGCATTCTACCGTGATAAAGATGGGAATCCTCTAACTTCAAGGTTTGCAGATGGTCTTCCGCCTTTTAATTACAGGTATTGGCTGTTTTTATTCTTGTTTTTTTCCTTACGAGGCTGTTAGCATGTTGGAATGTTAGGTGAGAAGCCTGTCATGTTAGGAGCCATAAATACTAGTGTCTTTATGGCTCAGCTCAGGAAACTGTAGATGGAAGCAGGCTAGCACCCACGAACTCTGTTAGCCTCTTGACTGATTGATTTGTACCAGGAATCGAACTCAGGACCTTGCACCTGCCAAGCAGGTGCTGTGCCACTGAGCTACATCCCTGGTGACCTCATGATTTGTTAAAAGCACCAGCACTCTTCTTGCTGGGCTTTGGAACTTTTGTTACTTTAAAGGCTGTGGGGAGTGGGAGTTGGTTATATTGTGGCTTTTCATTTTATTTTATTTTTATTGTGGCTTTTTGATAGTTATTGCCTGTGTGGGGCAGTATTTTACATGTTAACTGATACTTTTTTTTTTTAGTCCAACACATCAATAGTGATAGAGGTTCAGGGCCTAACATAAGCCCTGAAGTCCTGAAAGTTTGTCAGGAATTTTATAGGAAATACCAGTCACAGAACTGTAACTGTTTGCACACCTCTGTACTTTAGAAGCCCCTTGCTGGGCTTTGTGGCGCATGCTGTAATCCCAGCACGGAACTCCCCAGTGGTGTTGATACTGCTTGATGCGTTACCGGGGCTGTGCTAATGTGTGTGCATTAAAACTAATCCTAGTGCCTTCTATATTTTATGTTTGTTTTACTTCAGTTACAAAGATCTCTAGTAAGGTAGTTTATACTAAATAAATAGCAGGGTGTGATGGCACACACCTGTAATCCCATCACTCAGAAGGCTGAGGCAGGGGGATCATTATGAGTTCAAGGCCACCCTGGGCTACATAGCAGAAACCCTGTCTCAGAAAACCAACCAAACAAACAAACAAAAACAAAACAAAAGACTTGGATTTGCTTTTTTTTTTTTTCCGTCTTTTTGAGACAGGGTCTCGCTATGTAGTTCAGGCTGACCTTGAGCTCACTTTGTAGCACAGGCTGGTCTCGAACTCACAGTGATCCTCCTGCCTCCGCCTCCCAAGTGCAGGGATTACAGGCATGCGCCACCACACCCAGCAAAAATTGGATTTACTTAACCTGTCTATGTGGAGAAGTTGTTAATCTTGAAGTATGAATGGAGAAGAGGGTATTGGAGTGATTAATAAAGGAAAAGCTGTTTATTTTCTGGCTGACCTTGCTCCTTCTATACTTAAACATTGCCTTACCGTGAAAAAGATGAAAGGAATTAAAAATCATGTCTCTCAGGCATGGGTAGGGTGAACAGACGCTTGGTCCAACAAATGCTTTAGAAATTCTCAATTGAAGAAAACAGCGGATGGATGCTTCACTGGACCGGTTGTAGAGCTGGGTCTTGGCTGTGTGAAGCGCTTCCGCTCGTGTTCTGCATCTGTCTTCGCTGCTTGACTTCACTTACACATCAGCCTTTCACACCTAAGCACAAATAGCTCCTAACGGTCCTGTTCTCCTTCGGTGGCACGTGGTTATCTCATCAAGACGCCTCATTCAGACAACAGTGTGCCTCAGGAAAATTTAGTATACTTTAAATTATTTAAAAGACACGCAACATCTTATTCTTTGGCTGTCCTGAAGATTTATGGAGGAGTGTAACACAACCTGGTGGAGGGTAAGGGGATCTCCTCCACCTTTTGTTGCTTGATGAAGACATTTCAAAATGAGGCACTCGCTGAGGGAAACCAATAGCTGGTGGGTCTTGGGTAGAAGGATGTTCGTCACCTCCGAACGGTTATTTTTAAAATTTTCATAAAATGGTGCCAAAGGGTAACTTTTAAAAATCTTCTTTTATTAGTGGGAATAAGAGATTCTTAGGAATAATAGTAGAAGTAATCTAAGACAAAAGCCAGAAAAAATGGTTTGCTTTATAGGGAAAAATGAAATCACTGAAGCCCTGAGTTCAACCCCAGTACCACAAACAAAACGAGGAAAGAGCTCGCAGATCACATTTCCCCGCAGGACTCGGGTGAGAACCGAGGGCTTCACCTCTCTCCACTGAGCTACACCCCTGGCGCTTTGCTTTATTCTGAGTCAGGGTCTTACTAAATTGTGCAGAGCAGCCTCAGCTGTGTGCCGCCTGAGCGCTGGCGTTACAGAGCGCGGCTCCGCGCCTGGCTTGCGGCACATTTTGCCCCTTTAGCCAGTCTGCCCTACTCTGCCCCTCCCAGTGGCTAAAAGTAGCTCCCTAGATAAACTTTCCCAGGTTTTGTGGTGCTCGTGTTTCTGCCTAGAGTTGGATTTCTGGCTGTTTGCCCCTTGAGCAAAGAACTGAATGAAATAAGCAAAAGATGGTGACAGGGTTGGTTTGAAAGAGTAAAAGTGAAGAGTAAGGGGGAAACTGGCTCTGCAGGGTGAGCGTGGGCTGAGGAAAGAGGAGGAAGCAGAGTAAGAGTGCACCCTGAAGACAGAGCTGCAGTGTCGTGAGGAAAGCCGGGGCAGGGAGTTCTTCTGGCATCTGTGTCTTATTTTTTTGTTTTTTTTTCTTGGTACCAAGAATTGAACTCACGACCTGTGCTTTCCAGCCAGGCGCTGTGCCACTGAGCTAAATCCCCAGCCCATCTGTGTCTTTTTATGCTGTCCAAATCTCAAGGAATCCTGCGAGAACTCCTATGTCTGGGTCCAGCAAGGCGTCTAGGCTGTCCTGTTGAAAACCACCTCAAATTCTCACAAGAAGTTCTCATTGCACATGTATTCAGGGTCTTGTAATTAGCAGGTCAAACCTACTTTCCCTGCCAGCTTTGCCTGGCCCTAGTCTCCTGTCTCAAGATTTATCTGTTTTTCCTTTTTTCGTGAGTAAACCCTTCCCAGATTGCTGCAAACCTTTGGTTAATTCCCAGAGTTCTGACAAGGTTGATTCAGCCAAGTTGGATCATTTTCTCACTGTTTTCATGGAGGAAAGAATTTTCAGATCCTTTGTCATTTTCCTGACATCTTTCTGGAGTGATTTCTTTCTTTTTTTTTTTTTTTTTTTTTTTTTTTTTTTTTTTTTTTTTTTTTGAGACAGGGTCTCGCTATGCAGTTCAGGCTGGTCTTGAGTTCACTTTGTAGCCCAGGCTGGCCTTGAACTCGCAGCGATCCTCCTGCCGCAGCCTCCGGAATGCTGGGATTACAAGCATGTGCCACCACACCTGGTGGTTTTGTTTTGTTTTGTTTTGTTTTTTGGTACAGGGAATTGAACTCAGGATCAAGCACTGGCCAGGCAGGCACTTGTGCCACTGAGCTATATTCCCACCCCCTGGAGTTTATTTTTATGTACATCATGAAATAGGGATTTAACTTTTTCCATAGGTAGGTAACCAGTTTCACAGCAATTATTAAATAGTTCCCCGCTAAATTAATGTGATAAATTTTTTGTTCGGTTTCCTTACTTACATGCTTAGATGTTTTGTTTTTGCTTTCATTTTATCTAATAAATTTTATCAAAGGGAGGCAGTTGAGGCTGGGTGTGTCCTGGGTTTCATCCCTCGCAATGCACACAAAAAAGGGAGAAGAAGCACATTTATTGTTAGCTTAGCTTAGTATTAGCTATGTGAACACAAACAAGTTACTCTTCTCCCTAAGCCTCTCTTTATCTACAAATGTAGCAGTGTTTATCATTTCATAGGATTATTGAAAAGATTATATTAGAAAATTCTTACCACGTATTTTAAGTGGATTTTAAGTTTTCAGATATATTAATGTGTTTCTTTGTCATCACCTTGTTTTTTGGTTTTTGAGACAGTCTCACTATGTAGCCCAGGCTGGCCTCAAACTCAGTGGCGATCCTCCTACCTCAGCCTCTTGAGTGCTAGGTTACAGGCATGCACTACCACACCCAGTTTAATTTCATGTATTCATAAAACCTTTTAAAGTGAGAATATGTTTGCAAAAATAACTTTTTATTCTGTACTTACAGTCTTGGGTTATATCAGTGGAGTGATAAAGTAGTTCGCAAAGTGGAGCGATCATGGAACATCCGCGATAATAAGACAATTCCTCATCCTGTGTATCTCCTCGTGACCCCTCGCGTTGTCGTGAGTATCACTGAGTGTCTTTGTGTCTCACGAGCTGTTCCTCATTATGGCCTGGCTTTACTGATCGTTGCTGTTTAAGGGTTGATGAAGTTTCAGAGCCTGTAGTAGAAGCAGTCTCAAGGCACGACCGCGAAGTGCGCTTGGAGAGACCCCAGGACACGGGAATTCGGCAGTGACTCTGGGCCCTGCCCCACTGCCTTGTGGCGGGGCTGCCTCTGTGTCGAGGTCTCTCGGGACTCTGGGGACTCTGACGCTGACGATCATTTCCCTGGAGGGTCTGTACTGTCAAAGTCCGAGAGAAAGAACCGACAGGATGCGTGTGGGGAGCTGTTGGGGGCGGCAGGCTGCAGACGCAGGAGGAACTGCAGCTGGGACCCAAAGGCAGAGTCATCTCCCCTGACAGCGGTCAGTCTGCTCTGTCTGAGCCTGTGCCTGGTAGGGGAGGGCCGTCTGTTGGAGGGTGACCTGCTGTCGCTCATCGCCCACTGCCTTCCATGCTGATCCCCCGCAGTGGGTGGTGTTTGTACAGAACTGTCCAGATCACCGTTTGTCCAAGTGTCCGGGCATGGTGCCCGCACAAGATTAACCATCAGCGGATCCCATGCACCCGTGACAGAGAGCTTCTCCCTGTCCCCGCCCCCTGACCCCGCATCGCTCTCTTCGGAGCTTGTGCTCTGCTCTCCGCCGTTTTCCAGCCCTGGAACTCTCCAGCGGGAGGACGGAAAATATGGGGAGCAATTAGTCTTCCACTGCACACTGTGCTTTTTCCCTGCAAAGACTACTTAATGGTAAGGGCCGTTTGTCCCAGCAGTGAAGTTGTTCTGGAGGGAGCGGGGTGGCTGCACTCACGTCAGACGATAGACGTCAGGTCAGAGGTGGTGCAAGGGACAGTGAGGGCACTGTGTAAGGACCGAGGGGTCAGCTCATCAGGAGGACACAACGGGCGTGAAGGTGTAGGGGCCCCACGGCAGGGCACCTGGACCTACCAGACAGTTACTACGGATGTGAAGCGAGACGCAGGCTGCAGCACAGGAGTAGAAAGGGACCTCCGTGCTCCCCCATCATCAGCCGGTGCATCGTCATCCCTCAGGCAGAAATTCACAGGGAAGCCTGGGGCGCGAATGGCACTTAGGCCAAGTGCCCCGACAGACACACACTGAACGTCCCATCCAGCCAGCGGAATCCATGTTCTTCCCAGGGGCAAAGGGAACGTTCTCCAGAGCACATCACCGTGAGAACACAGGACAAGACCTAAGAAGATGGAAATCGTACACCGGTCCTCCGAGCACTCAGGAGGCTGAGGCAGGAGATCACTGCGAGTTCAAGGCCAACCTGAGCTATATAGCGAGACTGTGTCTCAAAAAAAAAAACTACTTTTCCAGCCACAGTGGTGTGACAGGAGGAATTACTAACAACCGAAATTTCATAAGTACATGGAACTTAAACAACATGCTCCTAGTGAAGAAATTAAAGGAGGTGCTAGGGGTGTCAGAGTGCCTGCATAGCGTACATGAGGCCTTGGGTTCTAGCCCCACCATAAATAAATAGATAGATAGGTAGGAAATTTAATACCTTAAGACAAAAGTGAAAATACAACATACTAAAGCTTATATAGCAAAAGTAGTTCTAGTGGGACCAGGGGTATAGCTCAGCAGCCCACAGCCTGCCTGGCAAGTGTGAAGTCCTGAGTTTGATTCCTGGTTCAAAAAAAAAAGTAATTCTAAGGAAATGTACAGCATTAAAGAACTACATCGAAAAAGAAGCAACTGGTTGAGGTGGCATGCCAGTCCTTCTTAAACTTTTCCAAAAAATTAAAGAGGAAGGAATACTTTTGAACTTTTCAGAAGACCAGCATTATCCAGATATCAGAGTCAGGTGAGAATATTTAGGTATAGTTTGGTTTGGTCTGCTCTTATTTGTGTGAGCCAGGGTGTTACTGTGTAGTTTAGGCTGGTCTTGAACTCAACCAAGATCCTCCTCTAGCCTGCCGAGTGCTGGAATAGATAACAACATTATAAGGAAAGAGAGTCCCGGGCTAGGCTAGGTATATAGCTCAGTGGCGTAAGCACCTGCCTGGCAAGCCAAGGTCATGAGTTCAATCTCTGGCACCGCAAAAAAAAAAAAAAAGAGTCCCAGGCCAATATCTTGGATGCATATACGGTGGATGCAGAAATCCTCAGTGAAGATCACAAGTCCATGATCATGTTGGGCAACTTAGTGAGACCCTGTCTCAAAACAGAAAGAAAAGAAAGAGCCAGAGCTGGGCATTGTGGTGCATGCCTGTGATCCCAGCACTCAGGAGGCTGAGGCAGGAGGATTGTTGCGAGTCTGAGGCCAGCCCGGGCTGCAAAATGAGTTTAAGGCTGACCTGAACTACATATTGAGACCCTGTCTCAAAAAGAAAAAAAAGGGCTGGAGATGTACCTCAGTGGTAGAGCAGCTCTGGGTTCAATCCCACTATTATTTAAAAATAAAAAAAGACAAGGGACTTGGAATTGACATTTCTCAATTTAAAAACCAATACAAATGGCCGACAGTTACATAAAAATGTTCCGTACCACTAATCAATAGAGAAATGGAAACGGAGCCTGAAATGTGACGCTGAGTCACCTGTCAGAGTGGCTGTTACTAGAGGCCGGAGGGCAGCCCACCAGCCAGGGCGGTGAGTGCAGATGTAAACAACTCCGCCAGGAAGAGCAAGGGTTAGGAGAAATTGTAACTGTCTAGCAAAGAGGTGTGTGACACCACCAGAACATCTTATTTAACTCTGTTACAAACTGCCTGAAAAAGAAGCTCTCTCCTTATCAAAGTAGTTCTCTAATGTTTATCATATCCAGGCGATAGGAAGTTTCTCTTTTGAGGGATATACCCTTCTTTTTTTAGGACGAAGCGCGGAAACATTTCGGTTGTCCACTTCTGGAAGGAATGGAGCTGGAGAATCAAGGGGGCATGGGCACGGAGCTCAACCACTGGGAGAAGCGGTTGCTCGAGGTCAGTTTGTCGTTGACTTTTACTGCGCTTTTTTTCTGTTTCGTTTTGTTTGTTATTTTCCAGTACCGGGAATTGAACTCACAACCTTA